GCCTTTGACACTATTGCCCATTTCTCCATCAGGTTCCACCTTCTCTCATTCATCTCCTATTTCTCTAGTTTCTCTCTCTCTGTCTTCCTTCCAGGTTTGTATTCCAAGCTTCTGATACCTACCCTTTCTCTCCTCTTGTCTTTTCACTGTGTGTTCCTGGGGAGCAATTGCTCCCATTCCCAAAGCTTTAGTCACGCCTCTTCGCTCCCAGATCCCAAGTTTTCTGAAGATTGTCACTCCCCTGTTCCCAAGACCTGCCTGTGACCAGTAGAGTGGCACTAGATTCCATGCTTAGGAAGGACCTCATTTGAGATTTAATGTTTTGTGGCCACCATATTAAATTTCTTAAAACTTTCATCTTTGAATTTACTTTTTGTAAATCTATTAGTTTTCTAGGGCTATCACAATAAAATATCACAGGCTAAATGGCTTAAACAACAGAAATGTATTGTTTCATTGTTTTAGAGACTGGAAGTCCAAGATCAAGGTACCAACAAGATTAATTTCCTCTAAGGACTCTCTTCTTGGCTGGCACATGGCCTTCCTTGGTGCCTCTCCCCATGGCCATCCCTCTGTGTACACAAGTCTCTGTATGCCTTTACTCTTCTTATAAAGACATAAATCAAATAGGATTAGGGCCCGTTCTTATGGCCTCATTTAAACTCAATCACTTCTTCAAAGGCCCTGTCTCCAAATACTATCATATTGTGAGGTATTGGGGGTTAAGACTTCAGCATAAGAAGTTGGGGTGGGGTCATAAGTCTGGTAGGGCAATGGAGCAGGCACTGAGGGTTTAGAATCTTGGTTCACTGTCGTCCTGCTTTCCACTGCCTCCCTGGTAAACGTTCTCAGCTGTCAGCTCCCTACCTTCTGGTATGTTGGCTGCCCAACTACTCCCTCCTTCTGTCCTGGGAGGGGATCTGGGTGCAGGTGCTGGGAGGGTCAGGGGTCAGCTATCCTTACTCAGGGCTGGCAATGCACTGCATATTTGGAGATGACTTGGCAGGAGTGAGCCTTGTGCCTCCCCCCCATTCCTGCTGCTGCCATCCCTTGTGGGTTTGCCTGTGTTCTGTGGATTGGGCAGCAGATCATGGCAAGGGAAACTGACTGCCCCACCTCCTGGCCCTGGGGCAGTCAACCCCTTGGAGAATTTCACTAGAGCTCTCAGACCTCTTCCCTGGAAAGCACACATACAGACATCCAGAAATTTGTACATTTTCAGAAGGTAATGGGCTCCATGCAGCCAATCCACGGACCCCTGTGTTTTGACTGTGCCTACCTTTCCAGCTTCATCTCAGTACTGCTCTTACCATGCTGCAGCCCCCTTGTATCACTGTAGTCATTCCCCAGATGTGCCTTATTCCTCCTTGCTTCCATATTTTTGCATATGCTCTTGTCTTTGCCTACTGTATGCTTTTCTCCATTATCATTGTAACACAGTATTATATATCCTTCAAAATTAAAATTATATTCAATCTTCTCAGTGAATCCTTATTGTCATTATCTAATCTAAAACAAAGGGCCCCTTTAGGGCCTCTCCTCATCCCTTTGATAAGATTTATAATGCTGAAGTCTGAGCATTTCTAGCTTGTCTGTCCCTTCTACTAGATCGCAAGCAGTTTTGAGGGCGACAACTCTGTTTTTCCGCCCAGTTTTATGGAGATGTAAATGACAGACATCACTGTATAGGTTAAAGGTGTGTACCATGATGGTTGGACTTACGTATATTGTGAAGTGATTGCTGCCACACATTTAGTTAGCATCCATTATCTCATACAGATACAGTAAAAAGAAAAGACAAAAACAGGACAAAAGTTTCCTCATGATGAGAAATCTTAGCACCTATCTTCTTAGCAACTTTCACACATATCCTGCAGCAGTCATTGGGTCCTACATTATCTCCTCATGCCTGACTATTTATCTTATAACTGGAAGTTTGTTCCTTTGGATCACCTCCCTTCAGTTCCCCAAGGACTGTGTTTGAATCATTGCTATTTTGTCAATGCCTGCTGCAGAGTAGAGACAGTAAATCTAAATATTGATTGAAAGCCCAACGAATGTATGCATCAATGGATGATGGAATAAGGAGCAGCATGAGCTTGTAGTGAAGAGCATGCACCTTGGAGTCTTGGCTCAAGCAATGATTAGTATTGTGACCTTAGAGAAATTACCCTTAAGCCTCAGTTTTCTTTCTTTCTTTCTTTCTTGCTTTCTTTCTTTCTTTCTTTCTTTCTTTCTTTCTTTCTTTCTTTCTTTCTTCTTTTTTTAAAGATTTTATTTATGAGAGAGAGAGAGAGGCAGAGACACAGGCAGAGGGAGAAGCAGGCTCCATGCAGGGAGCCCGATATGGAACTCGATCCCAGGACTCCAGGATCACACCCTGGGCGGAAGGCAGGCGCTAAACTGCTGAGCCACCCAGGGATCCCCAAACCTCAGTTTTTGAAGGTCAGAATGGGGTAAATAGAATGTAGCTCAAAGTAAAACTGTTGTCAATGTATATTGACAATCAAAGCTATAGGTACATATAACTCAGTCTTGCACTAAATTACTGGGGGCTTAAAAACTATTTTGGAATGAAAAAACAAAATTAAGGAACACCTGGGTAGCTCAGTGGTTAAGTGCCTGCCTTAGGCTCAGGGTGTGATCCCAGAGTCCTGGGATCGAGTCCCACGTTGGGCTTCCTGCATGGAGCCTCCTTCTCCCTCAGCCTGTGTCTCTGCCTTTCTCTTTCTCTGTGTCTCTCATGAATAAATAAAATCTTAAAAAAAAAAAGACAAAATTAAGAGACAATGAAATGGTATTTTCATAAATTAATTTATTAACAACAAAATACTCATTAAAGGTCCACTGGGTGCAAGGCAGTATGCTACGACATGTGGATAAATTAAACAGAAAGCAGGCCTATGGAGGGACAGGAGGAGGCTGTTTTAGAGCTAAACTTCAAATTACAGATGCTGTAAGAGAAGGATCAGAGTTTAGAAGAAGAGTTCATTTGTAGCTGGAGCAATGAGGAAGGCTTCCTGAAACCAGTGGCATTTGGGGCAGACCTTGGAGGACAGGTGGGAAAATGCTGCTGGCACTGGGGCAGGGAAGAAGGGAATGGAATGGATGCAGCCAGGAGAAGGCAGGGAGGCCTAGGAGAGAAAAGGGAGCCCCACTATCCTATTGATGGTGTCACTTGCACAGGAGGCTGCAGTCCCAGCCCCTGAAACTGATGGTTCTTGATCTCTGCCACATAGGACAATGTGCCCTAGTTTTCTGCCTCATGAACCGTTGGGACTCTGCCCCAAAGAAGCCATCAGATTCTGACGGCTAAGGCAGAGACCGGTTGGTTTGCTGTTGCCTCAGTGCGGGTGGTTCTGCTACCCTGCTCTCTGATGGCTTCACTGCTCCCTACTGACATGCGTGCAGGCTCCAAGGCTGGGGTGATGGATGGTGTCCACATAAACGAGTGTGTGCCGCTGAAAGCAATGCACAGAGTTAGGGGACAACTAATGAATCTCATCACAGATGGTCAGATTATGTCATTGAGAACTGAACTGCCTGAGGACTGAGGATTGTACACACAGCAGTAAAGACGGCTTGCAAAATAGTTCATATTATGAGTAATAATGAAACTAGCAGCTGAAAAAAATCAATGAAATCAGGAAATATTTTTCTGACGCTGTGAGATGGAGTTAATCACACAGCCACCAGCCTGCCTGTGTGCTGCTAGAGTTGCGTTTCCCCCACTGCACTGTAGTCCTGTTTTTTTAAATAAATTTATTTTTTATTGGTGTTCAATTTGTCAACATACAGAATAACACCCAGTGCTCATCCCGTCAAGTGCCCACCTCAGTGCCCCAGTCACCCCCACCCCCTGCCCACCTCCCCTTCTATCACCCCTAGTTCGTTTCCCAGAGTTAGGAGTCTTTCATGTGTAGTCCTGGTTAAACCACCCTTGTGGGGGCACCAGGCTTCCTGAGCTCCTCCATTTACAAATCTGTGGCCTCAGGCAATTCGTTTAACCTCCCTAAACTCCAGTTTCCTCATCTGTAAACTGGCAATAATACTGCCTGATAAGGCACGCATGAGTAGTAAAGGAAATGCCTCCCACAATTAAGAACATCTCAGTCCGTGGAGCATAGCAAGGGCTTTCTCCCCAGATGCCAGCAGAACTTGCTTTCCCATCTTCAGTTCTTCTTTTTTTTTTTTTTTTTTTAAAGATTTTATTTATCTACTCATGAGAGACACAGAGAAGCAGAGACACAGGCAGCTGATCTGTGGCACTATTGTATTGCTACAGATTTCAGGAGAGAGAGCCAAAAGAATGAAGCTAAAACACATGCAAAAAGATTAAAACCAGTTTTGAATGCTTGGGAGCAAAGGAGGACAGGAGTTTACAAACACAACTTAAAATATGTTGAGGATGAAAAACTTACATATATATTTTAAAGACTTTATTTATTTATTCGTGGGAGACACACAGAGAGAGAGAGAGGCAGAGGGAGAAGCAGGCTCCATGCAGGGAGCCCGATGTGGGACTCGACCCTGGGTCTCCAGGATCACGCCCTGGGCCAAAGGCGGTCCGCCGAGCCACCCAGGGATCCCCCTCATCTCCAGTTCTTTGCTCAAAGCCACCTTCCCTTTGGGGCCACCTCCCATCACCGAATTAAGACCCCTCCCCATCAACATCCTTTAAGCCCTTCCTGAGTTATTTTTCCTCTGTAGCTCTTACTGCGACTGCGGATGCTACGCCTCTCCCGTATTTCTGTGTCCTGGGTGCCTCCTTAGGGGAATATAAGCTGCAGGAGGTGGTACCCCCAGCGCCCAGGGCAAGGTCTGGCGTGGAACGCGGACTCAGCAAATGTTTCCTGGGAGGGAGGAGTGAGCCACGTCTGCTAACTCGAAACTACTCTTGGTCCAGTCCTATCCTTTCGAGGCCCTGTTGGGGGGGACATTTCCACGGTCCGTTTCCTCCAGCGCCCAGAAGCGGAGGGAAGAAGTGAATTGAGGTAATTTTAGCAGCTCGCGAGGGAGGACCCCTTGGCCTTAGTGAACTTGCACTCGACGCGGAGGCTCTCGCATAGATCTCTCTGCTGCGTGCCCCCCACTCCTCCTTGCTCAGCTCGTCAGTCAAAATTGGCCCGAGGGACCCGCCGCGGAGCTGGGGCGGGTAAAGAATCCTCGGGTTCCTCTTCCCTATCGTCGCGGGCAGCGGTCCTCCAGACGGCGAGGGGCCGCCGAGCAGGGCGCGGCGCTGCCAGGCAAGCCCGGGGCTCCGGAGGCGGCCCCCGCGGCCCCCGCGCCCCTCGCCGCCCGGGCTGCGGGGCGGGAGCGCGCGTCCCCGCCGCACCGCGGCGCCTGGAGCGGCTCGCCGAGGCCCGGGCGGCCGCAGGGGGCGGAGGCGGAGGTGGAGGTGGAGGTGGAGGTGGGGGCCGGGGCGGCGCTCAGGCCCCTCGGAGGAGCCAGGTAACCGCGGGCGGGACGGGGCGCCCAGGGCCACGCAAGCCGAGGCGCCGGGGTCTGGGGGGAGGGGGGCTCGGGGGCTCGGGGTCAGGCAGTCGGGCTCCATCGGGTTTGGCGGGGGTTTTTAGTCGGGGGGGATGTGTGGGAGGACGGCATCGGCAAGGGGGCAGCCGGGTTTTGAGGGTGCCCGGGGGCAGGGGTGAGACCCCGCGCAGAGCATCCTAGTTCCAGAGCTCCCCGGCAGCCCGCGGACGCCGGCGTCCTGCCCGAGGCGGTCGGGAGGGGCCGGGCGCGCTGGAGCGGGGGGGGGGGGCGGAGCGGGGGGCCTGGGCGGGTTCCCTGCCCTCGGCTGCGAGGAGGGCCCTGGGACACCCTCTCCCCCCGGTGAGAAAACTTCCCGCGCCCTGGCCCGCCTGCCACGGCTGCGCCCTCCGACGGAGCCCCTCTGGGCGCGGGCGCCCTGCGCATCCCGGGCGAACGCTTGGCCGCTCGGGCCCGGGGTGCGCGCCCCCCGCAGGGGGCAGGGTTCCCAGGATCAGTCCGGGCCTGTCAGTTCGTTCCTTTCGTTTGCACTAGGGAGCCTGCCTGCGGGTCGTCCTGCTGATTAGAGGGAGACAGTTGTTTCGTTTTTCTTCCTGTTCCATGCTTTCCGCATAATGAACTGAGGAAGACAAAAGGTGGCCTCCTTGGAAACTTGTTCTGAGGCTTTGTGGTTTCCGCAGCGGTGTAGAGGACTTGAGGGGTCCCAGCTATTACTCGGGATTTAAAATCATGACAAAAGGAAACATTTAATGGTGTCCGGAAAGCAAAGGGGACGCGCGGGGTGGGGTGGGGTGGGGTGGGGGTGCGGGACTGTCCATGCTACTCCAGGGAAAAGAAGCACACTTCCATATAGATAGATCCTCATGAAAGCCCCAAAGGTAAGTGGTGGTGTTTCCAGTTTGCACATGGAAGAAAGAAAAAAAAAAAAAAAGCAACTTAGGTTGAGGTATAAGAGAAGTTATCCAACCCAATCCCCCAGTCAATAGTGGGGTGTAGGGGCCTGAGAACTAGGACTGTGAGGCCAGTGGCCCTCAGCTACATCAGGTGGGGTGCATTGCCAAGAATGCAGGCAAGGAAAGTGGTCTGGACCTGCCAAGGGTAGGGTCCCGAATGGGAGAGGCTTCCACGAGCTGGGGTGCCCACGTCAAGGAATTAGGTTCTGGTCAGGAAGATGAGACGATATCAACAGGTACAGGAGAAGGCAGGGTTGCCCCCGGTTTATTTCTCCCTGGGAGCAAAGAAATAAGACCCCTTTAAGAGGTCTTGAAACCCGACTGGGCTGGCTTGCTCGACGTCCAAACAACAGGCATCCGAAAGCAGTGGGAGTGGTCACAGTCACCTTTGAGCTGGCTTGATAGAAGAGCACCGAGCCAGACTTTTCAAAACAGACAAACGTTGGATCCTGGCAACATTCCAGAACAGCTTTGTAAAGGAGAAAGCTCAAGACCTCCTAGGAAAGGATTTGCAAAGACCATTTATGCCAAACTAACCTCTTTCCTTTTCTAGCAATTTACCCGGTGGCCGGTTGGGACACGCCATATCCATCGTTTTTCAAATGTGGGTTATGAATGTAGTGAGTTGCACCAGCCTTTTTTTTTTTTTTTTTGAAAACATGACATTAAATAGAAGGGAGGAGAACACACCAGAGTGTGTTATATATGCAAGGGAGAATATTGTTTTGTGAAACATGAGTCAGTGTATTCTGTGTTGTTTATCCTGCTCCCTCTGCAGAGGTGTGCATACTTACCTCTGGCTGCCCCCACTGATCCTTCTGGCTAACGCCACTCTGGTGGGAGTCACCTTTTACTGTGCAAATTATATCATCTATGCATTCTAGAAAATGTAGCCTTCCTCCTCTTCCGTTCTCTAGGCCTGATAATTTGCCAATCAGAATTCCCCTGAATCCTTTATTTTTGACCTCTTGTTTATTTTTTTGAAGTGTTTAATTCCAGTTAGCATACAGTGTTATCTTAGTTTTAGGAGTACAATATAGTGATTCTACAATTCCATACATCACCCAGTGCTCATCACAACAGGTGCACTCCTTAATCCCCATCACCTGTTTCACCAATCCCCCACCCATCCCCTCTGGTAACCCGCAATTTGTTCTCTATAGTTAACAGTCTGTTTCTTAGTTTGCCTCTCTTTATCCCTTTGCTCATTTGTTTTGTTTCTTAAATTCCACATGTAAGTAAAATCATATGGTATTTGTCTTTCTCTGACAGACTTACTTCGCTTGGCATAATACTCTCTAGTTCATCCATGTAGTCGCAAATGGCAAGATTTCATTTTTCTTACACTGAGTAATATTCCATTGTTTATAAACACTGCTGCTGCTTTATCCATTCATCAGTCGATGGACATTTGGGCTCTTTCCATAATTTGGCTATTGTTGATAATGCCGCTATAAACATTGGGGTGCATGTATCCCTCTGAATTATTGTTTTTGTATTCTTTGGGTATATACCAAATAACGTAATGACTAAACTGTAGTAAATTGTAAAGCTAAATTTTAGCTTTCTTGGGAAGCTCCATACTGTTTGCCACAGTGGCTGCACCAGTTTGCATTCCCACAAACAGGGTGAGCAGGTTCCCCTTTCTCCACATCCTCACCAACACCTGTTTTGTTTCATGTGTTGTTGATTTTAGTCACACCTCACAGGTGTGAGATATCTCATTGTATTGACTTGCAGTTGATAAGTGATGTTAAGCATCTATTCATGTGTCGGTTGACCATCTGGATGTCTTCTTTGGAAGAATGTCTATTCATGTCTTCTGCCCGTTAAGTGTATTATTTGTTTTTTGAATATTGAGTTTATAAGTTCTTCATGTATTTTGTTGACTAGCCCTTTATCTGATATGTCATTTGCAAATATCTTCTCCCATTCCACAGGTTTCCTTTTAGGTTTGTTGATGGTTTCCTTTGCTGTGCAGAAGCTTTTTATTTTGATGTAATCCCAATTGTATATTTTGTTTTCTTTGCTTCAAGAGACCTATCTAGAAAAGGTTGCTACAGCCAGTGTCAGAGAAATTATTGCCTATGATCTCTTCAAGGATTTTTATGGTTTCAGGTCTCACATTTAGGTCTGTAATCCATTTTGAGTTTATCTTTGTGTATGGTGTAAGAGAATGGTCCAGTTTCATTCTTTTGCATGTTGCTGTCCAGTTTTCCCAGCACCAGTTATTGAAGAGACTGTTTTTTTCCCCCCATTGCATATTCTTGCCTGCTTTGTTGGAGATTGACCATATAATTGTGGGTTCATTCGTGTTTTCTATTCTGCTCTATTGATGTATGTATCTGTTTTTGTGCCAGTACCATACTGTTTTGATTACTACGGCTTAGTAATATAACTTGAAGTCCAGAATTGTGATGCCTCCAGCTTTGCATTTCTTTTTCAATATTGAATTGGCATTCTGGGTCTTTAGTTAATAGTTTAACATTTGTTCTTCTAATCAATGACTATGGACAGTCTTTCCATTTCTTTGAATCATCTTCAGTCTCTTTCATCAGTGTTTTGTAGTTTTCAGAGTATAGATCTTTGGTTAGGTTTATTCCTAAACCAGACCATTCCTGGATATCTATTTTTGGTGCAATTGTAAATGTGACTGTTTTCTTAATTTCTCTTTCTGCTGCTTCATTCTTAGTGTATAGAAATGTAACAGATTTCTGTATATTAATTTTGTATCCTGTAACTTTACTGAATTCATTTATGAATTCTAGTAGTTTTTTGGTGGAGTCTTTCAGGTTTTCTATATAGAGTATCATGTCATCTGTGAATAGTGAAAATTTTACTTCTAGTCAATTAGGATGCCTCTTTATTTCTTTTAGTTGTCTGACTGCTGAGGCTGAGATTTCAAGTACTATATTGAATAAAAATGGTAAGAGTGGACCTCTTTGTCTTGTTCCTGACCTTAGGGGAAAAGCTCTCACTTTTTCCCTATTTAGGATCATATTAACTGTGGAGTTTTCATATATGGCCTTTATTATGTTGAGGTATGTTCCCTCTAAACCTACTTTGTTGAGTTTTTATCATGAGTAGATGTTGTACTTGTCAAATGCTTTATCTGCATCGATTCAAATGATTATATGGTTCTTGTCTTTTATTAATGTGATGTATCCTGTTTATTTGCAAATATTGAACCATGCTTGCAACCCAGGGAAAAAAAAATCCCATGATTTATTTTTTAAAATGTTTTAAAAATAATTTATTCATGAGAGACACATAGAGGCAGAGACACAGGCAGAGGGAGAAGCAGGCTCCATGCAGAGAGCCCGACATGGGACTCAATCCTGAGACCCCAGGATCAAGCCCTGAGCTGAAGGCAGACGCCCAACCGCTGAGCCACCCAGGCGTCCCCCATGATTTTTTTTTAATGTATTGTTGGATTTGATCTGCTAAAAGTATTTTATTGAGGATATTTGTGTCTGTTCACCAGAGGTATTGGCCTATAGTTCTCTTTTTTGTGTGTGGTGTCTTTATCTGGTTTTGATACCAAGGTAAAGCTGGCTTCATAGAATAAATTTGCAAATTTTCCTTCCATTTCTATTTTTTGGAATAGTTTGAGAATAATAAGTATTAGCTCTATCTCAAATGTTTGATAAAGTTCGCCTGTGAAGCCGTCTGGCCTAAGACTTTTGTTGGGGTTTTTTTGACTACTAATTCA